CACGATGCTCCAAAGGATCAACAAACTCCACGAAGCGAAAGGAAGATCTACTAGATATTAATTAAATTATAAATATATCAATTCATGTGAATATGGCTGAAAAAATTCATTTTTTCTGAAAAAGTGGTGTCTATTTACTTGTGACCACGCTGTGTACATTCGATAATAACGGTGTTTTATTTCACTGCGTGGGTTTCAAGTGATATTTACTCAATGGCAGTTATATTCTCTATTAACTCAAAAAAAAGGCAATTTTTTTAATCTATGCATTGGAACATAAGTGAACGTTATTTTGTAGTTTTAGTCCTAATTATGGAATTACTTAAGACCAAAAGAGTGAACCTGTATCAATGTGCAGGTGTTTCATAATTTTCGCTCTAACTACCTACTGATCTCCTGGAATAACACCTGGTCTATCCCTACATCTATGTTTGAAAGTAGACAACAGTTTTCTCGAATGGTAGGTCAGGTGTTATATGGAGATTGCAAACTCCCTTATTTTCTAATTGGAATTACTAGTCACGTGATTAGCGCTATTCCTACTGGTAACGTAAGACTTTTTTTCACTATGTGTTTACATTTTATGTCCAGTCTCTTTGCACAGACATCAGTTAGTTTCAGAAAAAATCAGAATTACTTCGTACTATTTCCTGGCCGAATCTCAGGTCATATAGCATACCTATTTTATTTATCCTTGGATCAGTTTCACATGAAAATACCCCACCAGCAAACATACCTTCTTCTGGCATAGCCAAGATGTAACCTTTACTGTTATGATTATTAAAGCAGATAATCATTCAATTGGTTGCTATCTATTTGTTTCTATACGTTGTGAGTACATGAATTTATATTACTTGTATTTTGTTTGCTAATTAAACCACATGAAGGCGTCCGTATTTCAACTTATTTACCTTTTTAGTAGATTTGTATTCTTCACTTTACCCCATCAGAACTATTTAACATGTTTTTCTGTCGTGTATGCAATATGTTGTCCTTCTTAGCCCCCACATTTTGCTTTGTATAATATAAAATTATCAAATAACAATATATTAAAACGTATCAGATATTTGGGAAAAAACGTATATTTTAAAGTAGC